TCATCCACCCCTCCATCATCCATCATTCACCCCTTCATCATCCTCAGAATCCAGATTCACCAGTGTTGTCCAGTGTTGTGTTGTGTTGTTGTCTCCAGTGTTGTGTTGCGTTGTTGTGTTCAGTGTTGTGTTGTGTTGTTGTGTCCAGTGTTGTGTTGCGTTGTTGTGTTCAGTGTTTTGTTGTGTTGTTGTGTCCAGTGTTGCGTTGTATCTGTACAGTCGCTGTCGTCGCGGTCGTCGTCGTGGCGATGAGCTGCGGTCTTTGTGAGGCACAGCCATGAAGCGTCTCAGTGAAAACATCCATTAGCGCGCCGCCACATCAGAGCCGCCGCTGTCTGGAAGCGGCTGCGTGTCAGGATGATTTATTCAGACGGCAGCAGGACGAGACGATGAAATGATGTGCGTGTGAAAGAGCAGAAGAAGAAGCAGCAGATGAGGGGATAAGAGGATAGAATTACTCCGGATTATCTGCACTCAGCTCACCTGGCGTACAGGTGAGACGCAGGTGAGGCGTCGCACGGCGGGCTGCAGCCTCAAAACATCCTCCGCCTACAGGAGCCAATCAGAGAGCAGCAGAGAGCAGGTCAGGCTATTGATCCTGGTGATCAGAATCTGATCAGCTTCTCCATCGAACTGACGGAACGGACCTGCTGGTGTCACCAGGTGAGTGGGTTTCACTCTGCTGTGGTTCTGAGACCACCTGTAAGAGTGACGCGCTTCACTTTGACTGTCAGAGCTGATCAATAACTGATAATGACTTGACTTTAGGATCAATACAGCTGTTCTGTCAGCGGTTCTGGTTCTCTCTGCTGCTTCTGGGTCTGGTCCTGCAGCTGCTGACAGATGTTACCAGAGTTCAGGCTGAGGACAGAACCGAGGTTCTTGTCCCGACGCGTTCTTGTCAAAACAACATTTATTACTGGTACGGACCGAAAGCCTTTGATCCTCTGCTGCGGGGTTCTCAATCTGAGGCTGTGGACCCCGCAGGAGACGCTGGTCACCTGTCAGTGGACTCAGTTCAACAGAACATCTGGAAAATTCTCTTCATTGTATCACTGAGCGGTTCTGGTCTCATTCAAAATGAAAACAACGACAACATCAAAGACTAAAACTGAACTATTTGCCGTAGATTCTGTAGAACCAGAACCTGCCTCCTCCTGGTTCTGATCCTGTAGAACCAGAGCCTTCCTCCCTTCGGAGAGACTGAGAGGAAAAATTCTTCCTACTGGATCAATGAATAGATGCAGCACGGAGCAGAACCAAAGACCAGAGGAGCCAGTTGGTGGAGATACATTCAACTGATGGTGGAACATCTTTCTACTGATGGTGGAACATCTTTCTACTGATGGTGGAACATCTTTCTACATCTGCAGGATCAGGAGACGACATGAGCACAGAGACACACAAAACAACACAAGTGGGAAACGAGACACAAAATGACCAAACAAGTACAAAGCGATAAATTTAGACACAAAACCAAAAGAACACAATTTTAAACAGCAAAACAAGACAAAAGACACCAAAACAAGATACAGAACAACAACAGAGAAACGACGAATACGTCAGAAACAACGACGAGACAGAAAATGGAAGAAACGTGACACAGAGCCTTTCCCTCCGTCACGTGTTTCCTGTTTACTTCCTGGAAGTCGACACCAGACGACTTACAGCTATCATCAGCTGCATCTTCCTATTTTGCTCTCTAATAAGAGATGAAGGCAAAAATTCATCAGATGTTCTCGAACCAAAGAATCAAAGCTCTCCGTCTTGTTTTCTTTTTAAATGATGTACTTTAATGTAGTAAATTTTTAAAGCTGGTTCGTGCTTCGATCACATTTCATCTGTGGAAAGTTTCATCTGTACATGTCCTAAACCTCACTTCGTTGTTTGGCTGCCAGCTGCAATCATTCGCAGATCTCGTTATATCTTTGGATCAGCAGAGACGGTTCTGGTTCTGATGGATCCAATAAATAATCCAGACCACAGGAACAGTGTGGACATCAGTCTCACTAGTTCACTGTAATTTCTGAGAGCAGCGTATCTTTGGAGAAGCTCCAGTATTAAATATCTTTAGTTGCACCACAAAGTACAGAGGTTTCTTACTGAGAAACAAAACAGAAGTCTGAGCCTGAAGCTTCATACAAGGAATTTAGTAAAACTTCTCAAAACAGGATCCAACTTTCTTTCAGCAATGCCTCATGACATCCTCAGAAGTTTACTGTCTGCAAATTGATGTTGGGTTGATGCCACATCATCCAAAACATGATGCTAATATGACTCTAGGTGACGCTAAGGAACATGATGCTAACATGACTCTAGGTGACGCTAAGGAACATGATGCTAACATGACACTAGGTGATGATAAGTAACATAATGCTATCATGATGTTAAGTGATGCTAAGTAGCATGACGCTAACGTGACGCTACGTAACATGATGCTAACATGACGTTAGGTGACGCTAAGTAGCATGACGCTAAAGTGATGCTAAGTACCATGATGCTAACATGACACTAAGTGATGATGAGTAACATGATGCTAACATGATGTTAAGTGATGCTAACTAGCATGACGCTAATGTGACGCTAAGTACCATGATGCTAACATGACACTAAGTGATGATGAGTAACATGATGCTAACATGACGTTAAGTGACGCTAAGTAGCATGACGCTAATGTGACGCTAAGTACCATGATGCTAACATGACACTAGGTGATGATGAACAACATAACGCTAACATGATGTTAAGTGATGCTAACTAGCATGACGCTAATGTGACAGTAAGCAACATGATGCTAATGTGACGGTAAATGATGCAAAGTAACATGATGCTAGTGATGATAAGTAATGCTATGACGCTAACATATTGCTAAGTGATGCTAAGTAGCATGTCGCAAACATGACGTTACATGATGCTAAGTAGCATGACACTTTGTATCATGATGCTACATTAATAGAATACATTCAGAATGAACGTTTCTCTAAAACCTTTTACATGAAATCAGCAGACACTGGAAAAGCTACAAGAAATATTAGGTGAAAAGGATGAGCGATAGACGTAAGATGTGCAACAGATTTCAGATAATCTTTGTTGTTTGTTTGAGGAAGGTCATGAGGTGTGGTTGAAAGCGCTGGAAACACTGAATGAGAAGCTACACTGGTTCACATCCTGAACTGAAGATGGCACCAGATGACAGTTGGACATAAAAAACTGTGTCCTCGGAAACACTGGTTTTCTCCAGGAAAGTTTTTAGTTTGGTCTTGAAGGTTTACTTCCTGGCAGGTGTTCCAGGTATGAAACAGTCAACGTGGTTACAGTGTCTCTTTGGCAGTGGGAGCAGTAGTCACGGTAACAGTGGCGGTGCTCCTCAGTAGTCGTCGTAGCGGTACGTATTTGGGTAGGAGTAGCGATAGTCGTAGCCATCAGCTCGCTCTGTTTTGGTCTGCAGAGGTTCAGGCTGAAATGACAAGGACTTGATGACCCCGCCCGACTCCTCCGTCACCTTCACCTCAGTGGAGTACGAGGACGAGGAGGCGTCATCCAACAGGGAGGAGCAGCCGGGGAGGCCTGGAGGTTTCGGTGGAGCGCAGGACTGATAGGACGGGAGGCCGCTCGGAGGTTTGGGACATGACTGATAGGGAGGCAGCGCCGCAGGAGGCTTCGGGCAGGGCTGGTAGGACACCTGAGGACCAACACTGAGGGTTAAACAGCCATATGTCCAGTTTGTGCTTCAGCTGCATGTCATCGCATGAGTCACTGTGAACGCTGATCTCCTCTGGACCCTAAAAGACATGACACACCTGA